TATGTTAGTTTAATTTATCCCATCTTCATATGTTTAAGAGTATATCTTTGTTAATTCGATACTTGTAGGTCCGTTTTATCATTAAAAAGGTTCCATTCCTAATTGCATGGTTTGCTAAATATTTACAAGTATCAGTAAAATTACTACGCCCTCATTCCCTCATTTCCAGCCTCCTATATATATACATATATATATATATATATATATATATATATATATATATATATATATATGTGTGTGTGTGTGTGTGTGTGTGTGTGTGTGTGTGTGTGTGTATTCAGTTCAGCAACTTAGGACTTGTTTAACTTTGTGTTTTATTTTCCTGAAGAAATAGGCCATCATTATTGCTGCCTTTGTTTTCCCGCACTAAATACATCAGTTCTGTTTCTTTTAATATTTCACGTCGACTGGTATTTGCCATACTATATTCCTAATCATGAATTCTTTATATTTTTCATTTATTTGTAAATAAGTTTATCCTTGTACTGTAGCATCGTGTTGGTAACCCTGGATTAAGAATTATGTAATTTGCGGATATGTTTCTATAATTATTATTTTAGGGCTTATAAGTTGCCTAAAATTGGATAATTCAAACTAATTACATCTAAAGTCTTTCCACGCAATCTTTAATGTACTGACGTTCTAATGTACAGCCAGCAACAAAAGCGGTGACGCCTCGCCAGTCCTGGCTCGGTGAGATCATGCCCTTCTTGCCCCGAAAGGAGGCCCACCTTCAAACAACCAGGGCATAGTTAGGCTAGTTCGAATGTGAGGAGGTGGGAAAGTACGGAAATTAGGCGAAGTGCAATAATGGTTGAAGTATACATGGAGAGAGAGAGAAATAGGGATTGCTTTTATTCCTGTTTTGTTAATTTGATGGATATATTGGAAACCTGCCTTAAGAAATGAATTATCGTATATTATTTCGAAAATCATCAAGAAATTTTATCACATCGTTTTATTTCAATTCCTTATCATATTTTCTACATATAAAAAACTGAACATTGTTGTAACTTATTCATATTTAATAATCGTCAGACGGAAATATCCTTTATTCATATATGAAGGATGTATATTAACATATGGCTCTGCATTATCCTAATCAGCTACTCTCTCACTTCGTCTTATATCACCTGGATCCGCTATTTAGATAATAGTAAACTTTTGATATGTTATTTGGAAAAGAACATGTGACATTAGTTCATACGCCATTATATTTCCAAATATTTACAATTATTTCATTACCAAAAATAACGAAATAAGTATGTGAAAGACGTATATCGAAAGCAATGGGTTTGGAGGGGAAACACCGACAAGGTGCTGGACACCAACCGCTAAAACGACAAATAAAGGCGTATAGTCAAGGCTAAGGGGATATCCCCTTAGCCTTGGGTAATGTGAAGCTTGACTCGGCCCTTCGATGAGTATGTGAGCAAGCGTGAACCGTTTGCTCGCCGGGAAGTGCCCAATCTGCCCAGATCTGAAGACTGTCAATTAATAATTTAACACTAAAAGATATGTTAATAGTATAAGTTTCGCAACACCTGCATCCTATATACCACACCATCATTATATTAATGCACCGCTGCACACATTCACTGCTTTTCATTTGTCATTTTCACCAACAGTTTCGGAAATAATATAATAAATTAGGTTGACTGACGATGCACTTTGAATCAATTTGTATCTCAAACTTTATGCTGATATAATAGACATTAATACTTTCCATAAGTATATGACTTCGAGGGGCGGAGCCAAGTGACCCATCACACTCAAGCTGACCCCAACCAAACCGTGCTTCGCGATTCATGAACGCGACTGGAGGTCGTGGTTCGTAGGAGGCACCCGAACGAAATAAAAGGAAAACAAGGTAATCGATACCTATACCTTTACAGACCATTACCCTCGAAGTTTTGCGGCCAAAGTCATTTAATAATATTTGGTAGCCCAAGAGGCGCTATTTGAGACGATACATTATTCACACCCACAAATATTACTCACAGTATATGTGTGTGTGGTAAGAGAGAGAGAGAGAGGGGGGGGGGGAGTGCAGACACTAGCCTCGATAAGATAGGACTGAAACAGCCGAACACTCACTCCTTGCTTTGCGTAGCGAATCTAAATCACCCCCTGCCCCCCCCCCCTTTCCTAACTATGTCCAGGTTGTTTGAATGTGGGCCACCTCATCTCTCTCTCTCTCTCCTGTATTGCAAGCGTATTTTAGGCATATCATATTGTGACTATTAATATGGATAATGAACTGAAAATCATCATTACCAACTATTCATAACCAAATACACATTAAGAACATAAATATATAACAGATAAAGCGAGATAAAATCAGATTACAATTTAAAAGACAGGGATTTTAGTCTCGAAGGACGCTTTTACTATAATTTCTAAAAGGGTTATGCATACACTGACATCATTTCATGGCTGATTTTCGCTGCGTCATCTACATCTTTCGCCATTAACTGTTGTCAGTTAATGTGCTTGGGTGTGCGTTTGTTATGTGTGTGAGTGAGAGACAGAGAGAGAAATAGTATTTGACTCTTAGTGGCTGGGTGAGAGGACACGATTCTACCACGTGCAATTCCGTTTCCCCGCGACTTCGGTTTTCGGGATTTTTTTTCACAAATATAGTGATAGCATAGAAGGACTGATCAAACTGTGCCAAGAAGCAGAGGAGGAGAGGTAGAGGCAAATCAAAGAAATACACACGCACACACATACGCACACGAATAAACGCGCACGCACCCACAAACGGACACACACACGAGAACACATACGGACACACACATACATACACACACGCGCATACACACACACACGCACACGCACACACATACACACAGACACACATGCACATACACACACGCACACACACACACGCACACAACATACACACAAACACGCATATACGCACACGCACATACACACATACACGCATACACGCCTCGCACATGCAATCCATTCATATAATTCCTTACCTTGCTGCATTTGGGATCCCGGGCGCCTTGTTAGGACCAATGGCGAATAAAGAAATATCAATCGTCCTAATGTGCGCGGCATTTATTATTACCCTTTTTCATACAATACAGACGTCTAATACGGCAAGAAGCCGCCGTGGCCAAGCAGGTCGCGGAAATAAGAGACCTGTCCGGCCTTATCCCCCGCTCGATGCTCGCCCCCGGTCCCTCCGTCGAGTGCCCGCGGAGGGAGAAGCAGCCGTGGCCCACCCCGCGACTCGTCGACGGCAGCGCGAGTGCAATGCGGAGGCACAGCAGAACCTCCGGGCACTCGCTGAGAGCATCAAGGAGCAAAAGACGCCGATGGCACTGACAGCGGTCGTCACAGTCGCCGCCTCATTCGTCGTCGCCGGGCTCGTCGTCCTTGGCATCCGACGACGCGCCTCGGCCACAGCCAGCAATAGAAGGGGCCTGCAATAGAAGGGTCATTTGGACCCTTCCTTCTTCCCCACAGCCTGCACAGAGCACATTTGACCTTCCTTCTTCCCATCACAGCCTGCACATTTGACCTTCTTCTTCCCCATCACAGCCTAGCATTTGAGTAGAAGGGTCATTTGACCTTCCTTGCAATCAACCCCATCACAGCCAGCAATAGAAGGGTCATTTGACCTATCACAGCCAGCAATAGAAGGGTCATTTTGACCTTCCTTCTTCCCCATCACAGCCAGCAGAAGGGTCATTTGACCTTCCTTCTTCCCCATCACAGCAATAGAAGGTCATTTGACCTGCAATAGAAGGGTCATTTGCCAGCAATAGAAGGGTCATTTGACTTCTTCCCCATCACAGCCTGCAATAGACATTTGACCTTCCTTCTTATCACAGCAAATAGAAGGGTCATTGACCTTCCTTCTTCCCCATCACAGCCAATAGAAGGGTCATTTGACCTTCCTTCTTCCCCATCACAGGCAATCATTTGACCTTCTTCTTCCCATCACAGCCAGCAAGAAGGGTCATTTGACCGCCAGCAATAGAAGGGTCATTTGACCTTCCTTTTCCCATCACAGCCAGCAATAGAAAGGGTCATTTTACCTTCCCCAGATCACAGCCTGCAATAGAAGGGTCATTTGACCTTCCTTCTCACAGCCTGCAATAGAAGGGTCATTTGACCTTCCTTCTTCCCCATCACAGCCAGCAATAGAAGGGTCATTTGACCTTCCTTCTTCCCCATCACAGCCAGCAATAGAAGGGTCATTTGACCTTCCTTCCAGATCACAGCCTGCAATAGAAGGGTCATTTGACCTTCCTTCTTCCCCATCACAGCCTGCAATAGAAGGGTCATTTGACCTATTAAAGGGTCATTTGACCTTCCCTTCCCCATCACAGCCTGCAATAGAAGGGTCATTTGACCTTCCTTTTCCCATCACAGCCTGCAATAGAAGGGTCATTTGACCTTCCTTCTTCCCCATCACAGCCAGCAATAGAAGGGTCATTTGACCTTCCTTCTTCCCCATCACAGCCTGCAATAGAAGGGTCATTTGACCTTCCTTCTTCCCATCACAGCCAGCAATAGAAGGTCATTTGACTTTCCTTCTTCCCCATCACAGCCAGCAATAGAAGGGTCATTTGACCTTCCTTCTTCCCATCACAGCCAGCAATAGAAGGGTCATTTGACCTTCCTTCTTCCCATCACAGCCAGCAATAGAAGGGTCATTTGACTTTCCTTCTTCCCCATCACAGCCAGCAATAGAAGGGTCATTTGACCTTCCTTCTTCCCCATCACAGCCAGCAATAGAAGGGTCATTTGACCTTCCTTCTTCCCCATCACAGCCAGCAATCATTTGACCTTTCTTCTTCCAATCACAGCCAGCATAGAAGGGTCATTTGACCTTCCTTCTTCCCCATCACAGCCAGCAATAGAAGGGTCATTTGACAAATCACAGCCAGCAATAGAAGGTCATTTGACCTTCTTCTTCCCATCACAGCCAGCAATAGAAGGGTCATTTGACCTTCCTTCTTCCCCATCACAGCCAG